GTGCCACTCCTCCCTTTCTGGGACCCAACCTTTCTGCTCTGGGCAAAGTGGCAGCAGCATCTCTTGATTTGAATGTGCTATTGACATGCCCCTTACAGGTTCCGGGGCCCCAGGAACCCCATCCCAGATCCTGCCCAGGGAACATCAAAAGCATCTATGAATCAAGAGATGCTTTCCCCAGAGCAGGGAGAGGTTCTGTGGCAGCAGCTAGGGGCCCCAGTCCCTGATAAATTGCTGGGGCCTCAGGCAATTTGCCATCCCAGGCTCATATGCGGAGGGATGTGAGTGCAAATGGCGTGAACATACCGTTCTCCCCCAGCCATGAGGCTGATTCCAGACAGTCTGGGAAAGGTAGAGGCAGCGTGCTGCCAGTCTCCCTCCCTTGTGCTCCAGCTAGCGGGAGGAAAGCAAAGGCGGAGCTCTGCCAGCCTCCCTCCCCCATGCTGTAGCGGACCAGGGGAAGCCTGGGGCTGATTCCCTCCTTCCTCCCTCAGGAGAGAGGCCAGGGGTGGAGCTGGACCATGGGAGTGGGGCTGAGGGCAGGGCAGTCACCTTCCCCTCCCACAGCTCACACCCCCACCCACAGAAATTCCTGCATACGGGCCTGCCTCCTTTACCTCCCCTGTCAGTGAGCCTACTCTGTTTAAGAGAAAGGTTTTATTCTACCTGCCAGCCTTGCAAACTCAGGTTAGGGTGGCGAAGCATTCGTTTTTCAACCAGAATGCCCAATCAAAAAGAGATCCTAAGGGATCTGATCAGCACCACCACCCGAACCCATTAGAAGTCTGGTCAGTGGTACAGCAGGGCTAAAGTAGGCTTCCTACCTGCCCTGTCTCTGCATGGCTCCCAGGAAGTGGCCAGCAGGTACTTGTGGTTCCTATGCATATAGGGGGTCAGGGAGGCTCTGCATGCTGTCCCCACCCCGGGCTGCACACACAGACAAAGGCCTCACGTCCCCCCCCTTCCCAAACTGTAAACTGCTGTCGTGGCCTGGCAAAAGTTAGGGAGGAGGATAGAGGATGGCATGGACAGGTGAGTGCAAACAGGGAGTTTAAAGAGGGAGTTTTCCAGGTAGAGGAGAAGCAGATACAGGACTCTTGAGGGAAGTGTGTGTTGTGTTTGGGGCTTTCTTGCTGTGTGCTGAGCTTGTGTTTGTGAGTGAGGGTTGGTGTGTGTTTTTTTTGTTAGTTTATTTTTTCCCCTGTGTTTGTGAGTGAGGCTTTTTTTTTCCCCACTTCCCTTCCCTCTCCCCTTCTCCTTCGTGGAGTGTGCGCTCTGAGTGGCAGGTGGAAACTGTTGGCTTCTAATATTCTAGAAGCCTCTGTTGATTGGCTGAGCCTTGGTAGGGGGAGGGACTTTCAGGCAGTCCAGGGTTTTATAAAGCAGTGAGCAAGCGACCAAGGAGCTTGCAAACAAGTGAGTGCTAACAGAGGGAATTGGGAAGGGTGCGAGGTTCTCTTGCCTTTCTTTTTAAATCCTTTCTCCAGGATAGCAGGGATGGATGGTGATAGGTCTGCTGTTGTTACCTGCACAGTGTGTGCCATGTTTGTCTTCCTACTGGAAGAAAGAACAGATTTCATCTGCACTAAGTGCAAGCTGGGCGCCATTTTGGAAGAAAAAATTAGAGGACTGGAGGCCCAAGTGTTGACCCTATGCTCGATCAGAGAGGATGAAGACTTCCTCAACAGAAGGCAGCGTTTTATCCTGCAAGCATGGCAGGTGGAAGAGCCGGAGAGGGCAGTATGGGACCAGGAAGAGAACTGGCAGCATGTAACTTCTAGAAGGGTAAAAAGGCCAGCACGGGAATCCCCCAATGCTACAGAGGTAAGTAATCACTTTCAGGCTCTCTCCACAGGCTCTGCAGTGGTGAATGCTTTGGAAAAGACCTCACAAGGAAGAAACCAGAAGGGAACACCATCTATTGGAAGGCATGAGGTGCATAGTCCTAGGGATGGGGGTTCCATGACCACCACCTCCAAAAGAAGTTGACAAGTGGTGGTTGTCAGGGACTCCCTCCTAAGAAGGACTGAGCCATCCATCTGCCATCTGGACCTGGAATCTCGAGAGGTGTGCTGCTTACTGGGAGCTCAAATTCAGGATGTGACTGAGAGGCTTACCAAACTGATCAAACCTTCGAATTATGTGTACTGTAAGGCTTATAGCCAGTCATGGCTTGCAAAGTGCTAAAAATGGAAACCTCAATTCTACTATAGAAGTGTCAGAATTCAACTGATAGTTCTACTATTTTAGTTCATGGTATTGGAAGTTTTGGCAAATCAAAAATAGTAAGTTATCTCTAGTACTAAGGAAAGAATTTTAACAGTAATGAAAGCTCTCATTATGGAACAGTTAGCAGAAGGTGGATACACCTAGTGAAACTGGTAACATATGCATATGTAAAATAGAATTAAATGGAAAATAAACAAACAATCCCATCAGTTGTGTGCGTTCCTCTCCACCCCACCTTGACAAACATGTTAGCAGCTCTTTTGTTGTAACTTATGCAGAAATATCGTCAGTCAAGGCAGAGATTTTACTCACTGGGAACACTCTTTGAACTGCCACATGCAGAACCTACTGAGTGTGGCGTGGGAAAAAACTGTTGAGTTGCTGTTAGGTGCTGTCTGAATACTCCTGGAGAAATTAGAGGGTATGAGAAGTAACATTCAATGTTTGCTGTTCAATATACTATGGACCATTACAGTATAGTACATTTCTTGGTCCTAGTCAGAATTCCCAAAAGTTCTTCAAAAGCGGCGAGGAGTCCTGTGGTACCTTATAGACTAACTGAAGTGTAGGAGCATAAGCTTTCGTGGGCAAAGACCCACTTCGTCAGATGCATGTAGTGGAAATTTCCAGAGGCAGGTATAAATATGTAGGCCAGAATCAGGCTGGAGATACCCAAGATCCACAAACCTGGAAATCCTGGACGCCCCATCATCTCGGGCATTGGCACTCTCACTGAAGGACTATCTGGCTATGTGGACTCTTTGCTCAGACCCTACGCCACCAGCACTCCCAGTTACCTCCGTGACACTACGGATTTCCTGAGAAAACTACAATGTATAGGTGATCTTTCAGAAAACACCATCCTAGCCACTATGGATGTAGAGGCTCTCTACACAAACATCCCACATGCAGATGGAGATAACTTCTTGACACAAGTGCTGAAGGATCCGACCAGGGGCCGTTCGCAGCTTGACCTTCTGCTCACAAACAGGGGGGAACTAATAGGGGAAGTGGAGGTGGGTGACAACCTGGGAAGCAGTGATCATGAGATGGTAGATTTCAGGATCCTGACCAAAGGAAGGAAAGAGAGTAGTAAAATGCACACCTTGGACCTCAGAAAAGCAGATTTTGACTCCCTCAGACACCCGATGTGTAGAATCCCCTGGGATGCTAACATGAAGGGGAAAGGAGTCTAGGACAGGTGGCAGTATTTTAAAGAAGCCTTACTGAAGGCACAGAAAGAAACCATCCCAACGCGTAGCAAGAGAGGCAAACATGGTAGGAGACCGGATTAGCTTACGGGGGAAATCCTTGGTGAACTTAAGCACAAAAAGGAAGCTTACAAAAAGTAGAAACTTGGACAAATGACCAGGGAGGAGTTTAAAGGTATAGCTCGAGAATGCCGGGGGGTTATCAAGAAGGCAAAAGCACAATTGGAATTGCGACTGGCAAAGGATGTGAAGGATAACAAGAAAGGTTTCTACAGGCATGTTAACAAGAAGAAGGTGATCAGAGAGGGTGTGGGGCCCCTACTGGATGAAGGAGGTAACCTAGTGACAGATGATGTGGGGAAAGCTGAAGTACTCAATGCTTTCTTTGCCTCTGTATTCATGGACAAGGTCGGCTCTCGGACTAATGCACTAAGTGACACAAGATGGGATGAAGATGGACAGTCCTTGGTGGGTAAAGAACAGGTTAGGAACTATTTTAAAAGGCTAAACATACACAAATCCATGGGTCCGGACTTAATGCATCTGAGGGTACTGATGGAGTTGGCAAATGTCATTGAGGAAAGTATAATTTCTTACATCATTCGTGACCTGAAGAAGAGCTTTGTGTACTTAATAGTCTATTTTTCACAAACAGGAGTAATAAAAGATATCACTTCACCCACCTTGTTTCTCTTGATTGTGTATAAATACTTGTCATAGTAGAACCCCCACTTTTTAGTTTTGAAATATCCACAGTTAAGACTGAAGAGAATTGTAGTTACCAAATATGCACTCAGGTTCAGAACCACAAACTAAAAGTTACAAGATTATTTTTAACCTCCATTTTAAGAATCTACTGTATTTATTTCAAAGTTGTTGTTTTTTCAAGCTAGGCACCATGACACTTTAAATTTATTATGAATGAATTGATGAGAACTAGGAAGTAGAGATTGCACAGTTAGTGCATATAAAAAAAACTGGGATCTCATGTGTTGTGGACAGGAGAAAAGGTGTGGGGCTGAATTTATTTTTAAAATAATTAAAAACTGTTAATGGCAGACATAAGAATGGGTGAAGAATCAGTTCTTCAGTACAGCATTACAGTAGACTTCAATTATTTGAACAGAATGTGAGATTTTATTTGCATAATTTGGAGTTCAGATAATTGCTCCTGCTCTTTCAATTCAACAGTGGCACAACATTTCCCGCAGCCAGGAAATTATCTTCCTGAATCCTGCTCATCCTTGCAATCCAGGCTTCTTTATTATCTGAATCTCTGCATTGTCCAAATCTCTTCCTTATCCTCCAACATGGTGGGGGACAAGGAAGGGACTTGGATAATGCAGAGATTCAGATAGTAGGGTTTTGGATGATTGGGAGTATACTGTATTTGTATTTGATGTTGAGGCAGCAGTTTAATTTGCAGTGCCCAGAAATCCATCCTCAAACCAACTTTCAATTAAAAATAACAACTTTAAATTCTCAATTTTGCCTTTCTCAATTTTGCCTAATGCAAGCTGCTTTTTGCTTAAACTGCCTTCTGTTTGATTTTGCCTTTAGAGTCAACACAACCAAAACTCATATATGCTAGTGGTGAATCTGGGGCATAATGTTGAATTTCTGAACCTGTAATAACTTCTGGTGCAAAGGATTGTCATGAAAACAGGATTATAACCTTAGTGAAGTATGTAATAAACTGTTTCCCTTCCTTAATTAGGTGGAATGGGAAATAGCTCTCTATTACTCATCCTCACCTTGCACAAGAAAAGGGAGTAAGATTAAACAGTGGTTTTAGGATGTCTGAGGGCTTGTTAACACACTGGAATTGACCACAATAGCTACTGCAGAACAAGCTATTCCACTATAGCCATTTTAGAATCGTTTTCTGTGTGAACATTTATTCTAAAATAAAAGTGCCTTTTTCTGCTTTCCAAAGTGGGTTAAGTTAATTGGAAATAGGAAAAAAAGCATTCTTATTCTGGAATAAGTGTCTACGGGGAGAGTAACACCAGTGTAGCTGTTCTTCCATAGGTGAGTCTAGTCAGTCAGTTTCCCCATGTAGACAAGCCCTTAGGCATTTTCATCTCTTACTCTTAGAGTCATGTTTAAGAATTAACTGTGTTTAAATAAAATATTTTTACTGGTTCATCCTAATCTCATTTCAGTTAAGCAAACGAAAACTGATGAACTAGTAATCTAGCTTCATTCCCACAGAAATCAAATTTAATGACACTAAGAAACACCACCGTGAATTTCTGTTCTTCCAACCAAAATATATGACATATATGGATGATGCCACTAAGAAACACCACCGTGAATTTCTGTTCTCCAACCAAAATATATGACATATATGAACGATGTGTAATTGATACAAATAACTTCAGGTTAACAAAGAAGCCAAAGTCTCCTGTGTTTTTAGAGAGATTTAACAAACTAAAGGGCTATCTCCTGATGTATGATTTTTATAGAGAAGATTGATTTAAAATATTTGAATCACTTCATAGGGACTTAGTATTCCCAAGTACGGCCTGAATTGATATATATGTAACTCCAATAGACTTTTTAATAAATTTTTGGGGAGTATAGATAACAATAAATGTTATATGCAGATAAGAGATAGCTATAAGACATCTCTTTCATGCACATATGTTACTAGCCACTGCTCCTGTCCTCTGCAACATGGATTCTGTTAAGAATGCTGACCCAGTGGATTTAGGAGTAATAGCAGAATATATTTTCTCAAACAAGGCATCAGATTCTCAGCTGCTGAATCATTTGGAATGATGACAGTTTACAGAAACTGAAGGTCTGCCCCCAAGACCATTGGTGGTGTAAAATGTAAATATTACATTTTATAAAACACTATTCTTCCTCTGTTACGCACCTCCCAAGATTGTCCCCTTCACACAGTATGACTCATCAGGCGGCCCTGAAGGCAAGACACATCTTGGTGTGAATCAGATACTTTGACTTTACCCTGATGTATTTACCATGTCCATGATGGAATGTTAATTCCATTTTGTTTGCAGCTCTCTGACACAGCTGTCACTGCTGGCTTGTATATTTAAGAGAAAGCTCAAAAGCTTCTCTCTCCCCAACAGATGTTGAGCCAATAAAAGATATGATCTCACCCATATTGTGTCTCCTGTATATTGTTTATAATTTTGGTGAACTATTGGCTAATTAAATAAAGAAATGTATGAATATAGCATTGCTGGGGCCTAAATCCAGCAGTAGTCCCCTACTCAGCCAACCTAATGGGTTTACAGACTCCAAACAAGCTTGCAGGACTTTGAATTCATAAGAAAACTATACTTAGAACATTGCAAAAAGAACATAACGTATGTGTAGGTGAATATATGCATATATTAAATGACCTGGGTGATTGATGTCCCTGGCTAACCTTTCTATGGGTATGTCTACACTACAGAGTTAGTTCGAACTAACGGATGTTAGTTCGAACTAACTTTCATAGGCGCTACACTAGCGCTCCGCTAGTTCTAACTTAATTCGAACTAGCGGAGCGCTTAGTTCGAACTAGGAAAACCTCATTTTACGAGGATTAAGCCTAGTTCGAACTAGCTAGTTCGAATTAGTTACGTACAAGATAGGGACTGTAGGTTTGTTCTT